TCTCTCTCTTGCTGAAGCGTTTCTCTATGTGATACGAGATAGAGTTCAAAGAAGAAGATGGTATCAGGAGGAGTTGAACATTCGAGAGGGATAAAGTGACATACGCGTTTGGCCTGACAATGCGGGACGCCAACTACTGCTGAGGGATCCTCGTATAGGCATCTGCGCCGCTTGGTCTGCTAAGGAGACGATTTCGAACCAAGTGGAAAGGGTGGGGCCGGGATGAGATATCGTGGGCATCGTGGTGTATAGGGCGGAATAAAAATAAAAAACGGCTACGAAGAATGCTTTCACGCCATGGTGATGATCGAGAGTGGGGGTGGTGTTGTGCAGACAACTGAGGATATTAAGACGATGAAAACAGGACTGGATGGAACATAATTAACAACGTACGTGAGCATGATGTTGTGTGTCGTCGAAAAGGCCTCGGCGTACCCAAGGGGAAGCCTTGATTGGCTTGTCCAAAAGAAGGTCGTCCAGGCCAGCTTCCTCTAATATCGCAGAAACATCCCAAGTATACGCGTTTTTGTCATCGCAGCAAGTGGCTAGTAGCTTTCCATCTGCTGAAAACGACACGACAGCGACTGTATTTGCATGGTTGAGGGGCGAACTGATGGGCTGATTGTCGTTGAGGTTCCACAATCGCGCTGTCTTGTCCCTTGATGCGCTTGCGAGGACGCGGCCATTGGGAGATATTGCAATGCCATAGCCACTTTCAGTGTGCCCATCCAGCACAGCGATCTGGTTCCAGTTTGAAGTGTTCCATGTCCTAATCGAGGAATCGACTGACCCGGATATAAGCGTTTTTCCATTCGGGGTCCAAGCCAGGCACACCACCGAATCTGTGTGTCCTTTGAGAGTGGCGACAAGCACGCCTGTCTTCGCATTCCAGATTTTGACTGCGCGCTCGGTATTACCACGATTTGGCCAGCTATCGTATCCGCTAGTCGCAAACATGATCATGTCTGGTGAATAGACGACTACGAACACATCTTCGTGCCCAGTCTCGATTGGACCGACGATTGTCCCTCCGTTCTCCACATCCCACTCCCTTGCAGTCCCATCTTCAGATCCGCTCACCACTTGCTGACCATCTCGACTCCAGCAAACAGACTTCACTGGCTGTGTATGCCCCGTCCATTTCGCGATAACTTTGCCTGTATCGATGTCCCACAACCTCACTGCACCATCCGAACTTCCGCTAACCACTTCCTTCCCGTCCGGAGACAACGCTATCGACGTCCACGCTCCGCTATCCCCATCCCGCCAGTCCTCTCCTATCTGTTTCCCACTCTTCAAGTTCCATACCCGCAGCGAGCCGTCTCTTGAACAAGTCATCATCCGTTGTCCGCCCGGCAAATGTATAACGCCCTCGAGAAAATTGCTGTGACCTTCAAATTTCTGGCAAGGCCTTATCGTTGATGCCTCCTGCGTCCTAGTAACGAGGGATGAAAACATGATCCTCGGTTTCAACTACGCTGTCTCAGCTTTCATCCAACAAAGTCCAAATTCATCACTTACTATGATGTATTTTGGCTTAGACACCATGGGCGTTTGGGTCAAGTCAGAGTCAAGTATACTAGAGAAGTCCGAGACGATGAGTTTTATATGTCACATCCTTGTATGAATGGGTAACGTGCTATATGCTGTGTTCTCTATTGTATATCCCATACAATGCATTCATCGCACTGCCAGTCCAGCCTGAAGCTGGATGCAAACAAGGTTGCTGGTTCTCGACTTATCAATTTATGGGAGATGTAATATGAATTATCCTCGAAAGGCCTGAAGGTGGATTACTTGTACAATTGAATGACGATATACAGAACACCAAGTGATCACCTTTGGCTTCTAATACCGCCGCTGCAAATCTTATAGATGCTGACAGGTATGACGGACTAATGGCCATAAATCCTGTCGAAATTTGGAAAACAGAGTATATGCACACTACCCAAACACCGCAGTTTGGGCCAGATAAATTGGAGCTGCCTCCTGTGAAGGTGTGATTAACACACCACTATGTTATTTGATATGCAAGCAATGAGGTGTAGAGACAAGTGTAGTCAACATTTACCATATGTAAGGACGAAATGGCTGGTTCCGCGGAAGCAATTCGCGTAACTCCGGTACTTGCACATGAAGCACGCAATAAACAATGCCATGTCTTCATTGTATGTACTCGAGGGACAAGAAAGCATCTTGTGATGAGAGAGAGATCGTCGTAAAGATTAATGCTGACCGTCGGTATACTCAGGGGAGGTGCAACAGACAAAGAGCCAGAAACGAGCCCAGCGACCAGCGTGTTTAATCGTTGCATGAGGATTTGTGTTTGAAATTGCGACGGGAGGTGCGTTGGAGGTGGAGACGGCAGGATGGGGTTGCGAAGACTGATTTTGAGCTGTGCCGCTGGGTTGCTGCGTGACGGTGCTATTGGGAGGGTGTAAGCTGCCCGCAGTAGGAATTTTCAGGATTAGCCTCCGTCTCTCCCTTGCTGAGGCGTTTCTCTACGTGATGCGAGATAAAATAATATGAGGAGTTTAATATCCGAGAAGAAAGATAGGAACATACACGTTTTCCCTTGGCATATGGGACGTTGACTACTGATGAGGGACGCTCGTGTAACTCGATATCTGCGCCGCTTGGTCTGGCAAAGAGACGGTTTCGAACCCAATAGAACGGGCGAGGTCGGGATAGCGTATCGTGTATATCGCAGTGTATGGGGCGGAAGACAGATAAAAACCGACTAAGAAGCGTGCTTCTATGCGAAGGTGATGATCGATGGTGTTGTGCAGAAGACTGAGGGCGATGAAAACAGGACCAGATGAGAAATAATTGGCGACATACGTGAGCGCGATCAGGTATGTCGTCAAAAAAACCTTGGGGTACCCGATTTGCGACCTTGATTGGCTGGCGGACAGGACGGCGTGTAGCATCAGTCTAGAGTGCATAAGCTTGGGTGCAATGAGAACTGTTGATGAAAGTTTCACGTACAGCCAGTACCGACTTGTTGGGCTTGTCCAAAAGAAGGTCGTCGAGGCCAGCTTCTTTTAATATCACAGAAACATCCCATAGTACGCGTTGCTGTCATCGCAGCAAGTGGCTAGTAGCTTTCCATCTGCTGAAAACGACACAGCGGCTACTGTATCTGCATGGTTGAGGAGCGCACTGATGGGCTGATTGTTGTCGAGGTTCCATAATCGCGCTGTCTTGTCCTTGGATGCGCTTGCGAGGATGCGGCCATTGGGAGATATTGCAATGCCATAGACATTCTCAGTGTGCCCATTCAGCACAGCGATTTGCTTCCAGATTGAAGTATTCCATATCCTGATTGAGTGATCGACTGACCCGGATATAAGCGTTTTCCCATCTGAGGTCCAAGCCAGGCACATCACCGAATCTGTGCGTCCTTTGAGAGTGGCGACAAGTTTGCGCGTCTTCGCACCCCAGATTTTGACCGAGCACTTGGAGTCATGAATCGACCCGTCCCATCCAGCAGTTGCAAGCATGGTCATGTCTGGCGAGTAGATGACTGCGTACACAGTTTTGTGCCCAGTCTCGATTGGACCAAGGATTGTCTCTCCCTTCTCCACGTCCCATTCCCTTACAGTCCTATCGTGAGATCCGCTCACCACCTGCTGACCATCTCGACTCCAGCAGACAGATCTGACAGTTCCCGTGTGTCCCGTCCATTTTGCGATAACTTTGCAAGTGTCGATGTCCCACAACCTCACTGCATCATCCTCACTCCCGCTAACCACTTTCTTCCCGTCCGGAGACAATGCTATCGTCCACACTCTGGCATCCCCGTCCCGCCAGTCCTCTCCTATCTGTTTCCCACTCTTCAAGTTCCATATCCGCAGCGAGCCGTCCCATGAACAAGTCATCATCTGTTTTCCGCCCGGCAAATGTATGGCTCCCTGGAGCCATTCGGTGTGTCCTTCAAACTTCTGGCAGGGCTTTATATCTGATCCCTTCTCCGTCTCAACGATGGGTGAAGACATGATCCTCAGTTTCAACTACGCTGTCTCAGCTTTCATTCCAAAAAGTCCAAATTCATCACTTACTACAATATGTTTTAACACAGAGACACGATGGGCGTTTAGTTTGAGTCACAGTCGAGTGCACTGGATGTTCGAGATGGTACGTTTTTTATGTGATATCCTCGTGATTGTTTCACAGCATGTATTATAAGCTGTGCAGCTGAAGCGCTCAAGCCTTATCTGTAACTATGACTCGTCTTCTCTCGGTTACAATCTTGATCCCCGTTTTTATTGCCTGGCCGATGATCCATTGCGCCTCAGGTCGCACATCTGTCTTTAACCAGCCAGCTGCTCCTCAAACGCACCCGTTGTCTGGCCTATGTCTGTCAACACTAATCGATCAAGCGGTAAATCATCACAACCTGATGTTAGTCCAACCGTCATCGATGCATAGTTTCCCTCACCCAAACGCGCCTCCTGTCGGCTATAGTGCTAATCGGACTACTGCCTGACCAGTAGTGCAGGGTGACAGGAACTCACCGTGATCACTCAACATATCAGTGATGTAGATGACACCTCCATCGGCGTACTCCTGCGCGCTGATATCGTCAGCAATGATTTCCACGTTACGGCTCACAATCCCAATCGCTTGCATCTTATTTTGGTTTCACCTTCACTAAGCAGTCCTGCGTGACGTCTCTTGTGCCTGCGCAAAATCTGGCCCTTCGTAACTTACGACGCTGGACGATGTCGCAGTCCTTGTTTGCCAAGCTCATATTTCACGTTATTTATAACTATTATATCTGTCCGTGATGGATGAATGATGTACTATATGCTATGTCCTCTATTGTGTGCCGTTCCACGCAATGTATTTTACTTGTCCAGCGTTCAACCTTGAGCTGGATGCAAGCAAGGTTACTGCCTACGCCGGTCCCCGACTTGTGTAAGGTGGAAATATCCTCGTAGGGCCTTAATGTGGATTACTTGTACAGTTGGATATCAATATCCAAAACACCAAATGGTCTATGGCTTCCCAGGCTAATAGAGCGATGATCGTGAGCGCCGATCACCAAAACCCAAGGAAAACATTACCTTGTTCTTCTTGGGTATAAATATGCTACCCTTCTCCTTCTTGAAACGTTTTTGGGGTGGCTGCATTGTCATCGTCCTCGTATCACGTGAGGTGGAAGGTCCGCCTTCGCCATTTACACCTTCAGCCAAACGACGCTTCTGACCAACATCCCTGGGAATCGCCAGGTTGGCAGGAGAATCTTTCATCGACGGTTGCTCCTCGATCGTCTGGGAAGGCTTGGAGGAGGGAGGCCGACGACTAGACTCAGCAAAGCTCTTGGGAGTGACCAGATCATCTGGTTTAGGCGGCAAAGTCACGACTGGCTGCTTCTT